TGGGATGGCACCATCAGTTCAACAAGGTTGAAATCATGAAACAAGTGTGAAAAGAAGAAACAGATTCTCCAGACAAATGAAAGACAAGTGATGAGATTGCTGCTTATTAATTATGTTGATCTAAAGACCAGGAAATAGACAGTGAATGAAAAACAGTCCTGCAAAACAGGAAATCAACCTGTATCTAGAACCAATGATCACTTTTGAGTTACTTTGAAACATAGATACAGCAAGGCATTAACATGCAAAATATCTCCACCTGCCATTTGTTACAGATGCTGAATGCTGACTGTCGATCACCATCCACAAAAAAGGTGGAGACTATAACATTATGTCACCACTTCTGGTGGTGACACAAAGTACCATTTTTATTTTGATATGACATCACAGTAACTATAGAATAATGCATAGTCTTGAACGCCATTCCTAGAATGTCTTCTATTATGTGCGATCAATCAAGTTATAGAAACTAAAGAAACCAAATCCCTAAAGAATCAAAAGGTATTAATCTAGCTGACAAATGTTTTAAGAATTACAAAATTGCAAATCAATGTCGAATAAATTGGATCATTCTTCACTCTAATACCACAAGGAAACAATTGAAGTTACTGATATGTTAAAATAATCCTACAGCCACTTTGCAACTTTTTGTAAATGCATACACAATGACCCATTTATCAAAACACTGAAAAATGTTACATGCAACTTTAGCTGAAGCAATTATATTATAATGACTCTGTTTATCGATAAATTTGTTGTTGTTTTCAAATGTTGCCCTTTGTGCTTTCTCATTTTGAAGCCATTTCTTTCACTAAACCACTTTCCACTACCTTTTGATAACACAAATACTGAATAACAATACATACCTTATATAACACTGCCATGGCAACATAGTAAAATCCAAACAACCATTCAAAAAATAAACACACTTTTGAGAAATAAATCTTTATTTTATGGGTTGACCAATTCATGATGAACCCTCACCAACTCCCAAACTGACCTCAATGGGAAAACATAATGTCCAAGGGCACCTTTGGGGTCAAATATACACCCCTAGCTTAGATCTAAAGATCATACCTTCATTCATCAGTTATTTATTAAATCATCACAACACAATTAATATCTAATTATCATGTTACTAAATGTGCATATTATCTACAAAAATATTTTTTTAATTTTACGGTTTTGTCCAGTTTGAAATATTCCCAATCATGCTACTTTCGCAGGTAAATTCTTCGCTGCTATCATTTCTGTAAGAATATTCAAATAAGTGCATGACATATGCTAGCATTTGTCCAGGTAAGTGAATGCTCTAAAGATGGAAATACCTGTACCTGTTTATGAGGGTAAACAGAATATTAAAGATGCCAAAACTCTTACTATGGCATCAGCTAATGAAGATGAATACATTCATAATTGCCAAATTGCCAATTTTTCTTTGAGAAAAATAGTTTTCATTTTCTATAACAATTTTTTTGTATATTGTCATAAAATATTACAAAAAGAATCACCAATCCAGCCAAATTGGTTCAAAAAGTGTGACTGACTATCCAGCATTAGGATAGAACAATGAAACACTAAAAAAATCAAATGGCAAAACAAGCTAACAAGAGGAAGACATCTGACTGCAACTTCTGCTTTAATAGCCATGCTATTTCTATAATGCCATAATGCGTGATTAGCATCCATCCATTTGTGACTTTAAGATCAATTACAAATTCAACTGTTCGCTTGCAAATTACAAAGCTTTTCAGACTAATTTGACCACACTATGCCACAACATGAAATCTCTAAATTAAACAATTAAATCTGAATTATTGTGGCAAGTTTCTAGCAGCTAAATGCTGATAATTACTGCTGATAATTGGTTACCACAACAACCAGTACAACATGGCACCAAGTTTCAGGCAAGAACTCTGGTGAATTCAAAAACAGGTATATAACCATTTGAACATTTCTACTCCCAAATCATGCTTATTTTACAAAATTCCAGCTTAATTCTGAGAAAAATCTTGAATTTTAAAGTGTTATACATTCAATATATACTCTTTGTTGATTTTATTTGCACAAAAATCCTCACTTTCCCCAAGTTATTCTAATGAAGGAAGCATGACATGAATGGTACATGGTTCATTTCAATGTTTTTATAGATGAAAGGGAAGGTTCCAATCAGTCAATAGATCGGGGTTATAGAGAGGTGAAACTGGTCAGTGATTTATTACAACTTTCCAACCCCCAAGCTCTCAAAAATGAGGATCTTCTATTTTTATGAGCTGCCTTGTTTGGCTATATCATTCCCTTTACATATCAAATTCTTACGGTTGAATCATATTAATATTTACCTTGTTTCAGTCTCATGGAAAATGACATCATGGGACAACCATCAACATATTTTACATTATATTATATACACTATATATATCTTTTAACTCATGTATTCACGTTTACATGCTCACATTACGAATTACAGGTATAGCAAGGGTTCTGGACTATTGTTCATTTTGGGCTATTATTCTTATGTTAAAGGGTCCTAATTATTGCCACTCATTGTGAATAATGTTCTCATCTCCTGGCTGGAATTTCAGCTGCAACATCAAAGCTTCCTTAATTAATTGCTTTCATATCCCACTTACCATTTTGTGTGAACACAATGAATGAACAAAGATGTAATGTTGACCAATGCTTCTTTAGCCAGTTAAGAAAATAAATTGTTTAGTCTGTGTTAATTAATTATGACATTACTGTTTAAAGATCTATTGAATAAATGTCTTATATACAACTTTAACTTTCTATAAGTACCTATTATTTGTTATTAATCAATTACAATACAGTATTGAGGTGTAAAGGATTGCCATATTTTGTGAGATTCTCTCAAGAGATCTATGAATGAATTAGATGTATTATGTCATGCACTGTATCTTATTATATCCATCATCAGATGAAGTATTACATGTAATCATTTTGTATTATTTCCTCATCTCTAGATTTGGATTTTGGATTAGAGTAGCCAAATATCAATCAAAGATGACAGGAGAAACCCTTTGATCTTACACAGCTCTAATGAATTGTTCTCTGTCTGTAATATGGACCATAATGTGATGATTATCCCGTTGTTACTTCAGCAGGAAAGTCAAGAAATGTTATGTAACATAGTAATTGAGTCATGGGAGACTAATTTTGCTTTTTTCTAAAATGACAATTCTCCCAAAAATTACTCCTTTAATTCAACAGAAATGGTACCCTGAGGGCCATCACAATACTGTTGACAAATCTCTCGTTTAATAAAAAAAACTGAAGTAATAATTAAATTATTGCAAATAGTATCAGAATGGTCAATTTCTCAAGCTATTTTTATGGTAATTGTTAAAGAATGAGAAGGTGAGTTATACAGATATAAGTATTTTTAAACTCGAGACAGCACGAATGGCAACATGAGAAAGCACAAATCAAAGTGAACATCTATAAACCATAAGAACAATAAAGAAGAAAAATAATGTTTCTAATTATTATTATCTGTGTTTGTCATTCATTTTTGTCATGAAATAGTGAAAAAATGCCAAATATTAAAAATTTTATACCAAAACATGAGTCGCCATAGTAACCATATTTTTCATCCAATAAGTGGATTTCAATGAAACTTGGAATATTAATTTGTACCATTATTTTATCATCTCCGGTAAACATTTCACGTAATAAAGCTTGAAACTTAAATCAACCTAATACGTAACTTGTTGTTAATATTGTTCTCATGGTCCTGTACTATTTATAACATCTAATATGATCATGGCATATGAGGTCATTTTAAAACTACATCTGTTTTATATCATCTTGTTTTGATATTATAGCTATATTATAGTTCACGATATTGTCCTAATTCAACATACATGCACAGGTACCCATGCACATTGTGTACTTCCAAATCTGATAAACAAATCACATACCAACATACATTTGATCCAAAATAAATATGAATGATGTTTTTCAAATGATATAAGTAGGAGTTCAGGTTACAAGCACCCATTGCTTGGAAATAGCACCCATTGCTTGGGAAGAGCACCCATTGCTTGGGAAGAGCAAACATTGCTTGGAAATAGCACCCATTGCTTGGGAAGAGCACCCATTGCTGGGGAAGAGCACCCATTGCTTGGGAAGAGCACCCATTGCTTGGGAAGAGCACCCATTGCTTGGGAAGAGCACCCATTGCTTGGGAAGAGCACCCATTGCTTGGGAAGAGCACCCCCATTTCTTCAATTCAAGGGAGATCATCAACATTTGTGTGGCATCTACTCTGATACACACAACACATCCGGTAATGCATAATTGCAATAAAAATGAACAGTGCTTGAAATTTACATTTCAACAATCCTGTCATCCTCTTGATACCACTTTGGCGTGTCACCCTCAACGAGGCCCTCTGGTGTTGACATCAAGAGCCAACAATGAAATTATTTCGCCACAAATGAAATTAACCTCCGAGTCAAGCATGGTTAACATTGCATAAATGAAGCTTCCTATTCTATTGTCCATTTTATTACTGAATGAATAAGGAGTGAATGGCTTGCTCAACTGTCATTGATTGAAATTGACAGGGACAAGTTTTTAACGCAACACTTTTGAGATTGGGAAACTTAATTATGAAAACATTCCCTCTGGGAGATAAAGCATTAATGAATTGTGGAAAGATTTGACAAGAATTAAATATATTCAAAGACTGGATTAGTAGATTGTAGTAGAAGTTGTCAAAATGTGCAAAGGTTTGGTAATCATGTTAATAAATGAATGAAGGGCTCTGTTAAGTTAGAGTACTTTAAAAGGAGACGACACAATTTACAATCCTAAATAAAGCATCACCATAACAAAATTCTATCACCTGCTTGCGTTACTGTTTGTTACAGACAGTGGATGCCATATGCCAAACTCCAATGCCAAATTAAATGATGGTCACACAAAATGGTGACGATAAAAATATGTCATTATGGCAGATATAATAAAATTCCTACCTGGCTCGAGTGTTCCTCAAATTCCCGTAGCGAAAGACAAAGATCGAGTCTATCCCGTCTCTTATCCGCCAATTTCACTAGCTTGTACATGGTATCCTGGACTTCTTTGTACATACTCTTGGCATTATTTATGGCATCTCTGCAAAAAATAAGTTCAGATTTTAGTGGAGTTCAGTATTTTCAAAGAATATTCTCCATTGTATATAAGACTGTAGCTTTAACGTGTCTAACTTTCAAATCTCATAATTCAAGATTCACTTCGTTTTAAAACTATTGTTATATTTGTCATCAACATTTTTACAAAATGTGAGGGATCACAGAGTTATTTTTTAATGTTTTGTTTTTGTATTTTTCTGTTTTTTAGGTTTATGGTGATTCTATACCCATTAACACAAACCTAAAACAATTTCTTTAATCTATAAAACTGCATAAACCACTTAGATGTTGAACATTTTATTTCACAATGATTGTTTTACACTCGTTATCATTCAATTTAAGACTTCGATGTTGACTTAAACGTGACCAAAAGACCAGAATGACGTATGTTATATTCTGTCATAAATTGCTGACCATATCTTTAATGCTCCATAAGTTATATATTTCTCACTGCTTAAGGCTAATGTAAATCTATTTTGATATCTTTATACTACTTTGAATAAAATCTCCATGTTATCAAATTCTGTTTTTAAAGCTAACAAATCTGAAATATTGACACAATATATTCAAATAAATGTCTTGAAATGCTGCACCATACATAAAAAAAATTGATTCATTAACAAAAGATATCAAAGATCAGGATTTGAAAAAGCCAAAGTAAATATCTAGAATAAATATAAACAAACATCAGCAAAGGTTACTGACATACCGTAAAATAATTGACTTTTATTGCCAAATTATGAACTTTAAATGGTCAATCAATGTAGGGATTCAAAGAGAATGTTTTTTATGACTATGTACCTAATTTGACTTCCTGCTAAATGACAATAAAAAATATTTGAAATAATGTCAAGTATGGTCCATCTTGACTAGTCAAATGTTTTTATACCAAAGAAAATCAATTAGAGCCCAGTATGAGGTATGCCCAATGGATTAACTTAAATTAAATAATTCAGAAATGTAAATTGAACTTTTTATTTCAATCAAATTTTGTAGATCAATAATGCGCTGTAAAATCCACTTATTTTACTATAATCATTCAAACATACCTTATTTCAAAAATAAAATCCTTACATACTAAAAATGTCAACCTCTGATGATGATGCTACCAGAATTGTTTGATAAAAGCTGGTAAAGGGTGACCCGAAAAAATGCAGCCGACTAATTTTCGAATAAACTTTATTGTGATACAAAACATATTGATGCTATATACCCACATTCACTGCATTCCAGTGTTTCAAAGATTGAACACTATCTACACAATAAAATTCAAGAAGATTCCATCATAGTTGAGAAAGTTATTCCAAAATTAGAGGTTTGCATTTTTTGGGTCACCCTGTGAATACCAAACACAGGTTAAAATTTTTGAATGTGTGTATACAAACCCTAAAGCACTAAAGGAATTTACTAGTTAGCCAGATAATCAAATATTGTGATCTATGTTTGATGTTTGAGATAATATCATCATGTTCATATCTTCTATTTTCATTTCAAATTCATATCCCAATAAACATCTTTGGATTTTTAATTAAAAATACCAATACATGTCTGATTTCGGTATTTGAGACAATATTGGAAAAATGCCTTTTATTTATGCCAGCGTTTGTTATATTTACACTGTGAGGAAATATGAAAATATTTGCAAAGTACATCGTGTCAGTTCAATGTTGAGAGATCTGGATTAATATATGGGTGTTTCATTAATTATAATGAGATGCCTAATTACAACCCTTTACCAGCGGTCAGCATCATATACACTCTGGAAATAAGCAATGATTCTTTGATCAAGCTTCATATCCAATCAGATGTTATATATTCTGCCTATAATAAGTAGCTAACATTCACATTATAATCAGATTCCAATGATAACTTCATTTGAGACCATTGAGATCTTAGTGCATTCATCTGAAATAGTCAGAGGGAGTGGTGAGCCAATGGTACAATAATGTCATTTCTGCAGGCAATATAGTGAAATATTGGACCGAGGGCCGCAGGTCGTTAAATGCATTCTCGACTGGTCTGAAATGCTATATTGACCGCCACTATGATGTCACATATTGCTTAGGTTGATATAGTAAAATGAGTGCCTCCTAAACTAGCACTAAAACTCCCAGAACTGTCCCAGCAAGGTGGTAACAATGTGAATTCAGAGTAGCTATTTACTAACACAAGTACAATTGTAGAGGATGTTTGAGAGGCTGGGCACATGGGCTAAGCAGGACTAGTATTATCACTCATGGTAGTCACATTTCAATTTGAGGTATTTAATTGCTCATTTGAGGACAAATCATGACTCCTGTTAAAAATCACAGCAGAGTTTATTTCTCACTTCATTAAATGAATTTAGCAGCAGTCACAGAGGTATCCATGATCAATGAATTTCTACTAGAAAAGAAAATAAGTGTAAATCTGTATTCAGTTATTTGAATGGGTAGCCCTCCAATGGAAACATTTATAATTCTGCATCAAAGGTTTGAACGTAAATAAAAGGGGAAATGAAACTTAATAAAAGGGGAAATGAAACTTTGAAACTTGTTTGATATAAACTTTTGGAAACTTTTAATTTCATAAGTAAATATTTTTAATGATCGTCAACTGAGAGCCATTAACTTGCCATCAAGTGACTACATAAACACAAAATAAACCAGATAAAGGTTCAGGATCAAAACTTAAACGATCAAGAATATTTACTTTTTCCTAAAATTGAATAATCAATTTGATTCAGTTCTAGTCTTATCAGACTTAAGTTGCAATGAACGCATTCTTTTCTTTCGTCCTAGCTGGTTTTTCATTGTGGGTTTTGTATGAAAATAACAGGAAAGCTTGTGTGTATTGGAATAATCCAAAGATTTGGAATGGTCATGATACATGTACTCTTAAAAATACCACAAATACCTGACCCTCCCCCCATGCACCTTAACTTACTTGAAATCCTCAGTCTTGGTGAGAGAGATGTCGAACTCTGTGTACTTTAGGAGATCGTCACCTTCTGACTGCAGCGCCACCAACTGGGGATGTTCCAAACTAGTCTTGACATATTTCATGTGACGTTCTACAACAGACGATATGATAATGATAAACCTGATTTTTAAAGATTCTAATTCAAACTTTTTGAGGAACTCATTCAACTGTAGTTTTTTCATTTTACCCATTTTCTACCTCAAATTTGTACAAATGTTAAGAGGTCAAGAGGATAAGTGAACAAGTTGTCTACCTCTATTATAATTACAAGGTTTTCCTGCAAACATTTTAAATAACCTAAATGCATCCATTCAACTTGGCCTTGAATTGTGAACCTTTGATTTCACTTCCAATATTGCAGAGGTGCACAATCTATTCAGTCCACCTTTAGAAGGGTAAACAACTGTACATGTACATGTTATGTTTCTTGTATACTGACCTAGCATGGTCTGTGCCTCTTCTGTTGTCATTGGAAGGGAGTTGTCTGATGTAATCGACTGCATCACATGGACTAGAAATCGTGCAACGCTACGACAATTCTCCAGAAATGGCTCCAGTCTCTGTAAATACACAACAATAGTTTTAAACATGATACTCTACAAAAATCAGCATTCAGAATGTCAATCAAAGGAATTTTGTATTGCTTTTGTATCATCAAAAAAGACACTGCCATTTGTGATGTCCAATTAGTCTGCTTTTCATGCATAAAATATTGCCATATCCCAATAAAGTTTATCACAACCTTACCTGACATTCGTTGTATCACAGATATAAATCTTTTATTCCAAATGAACATACAATTTTAAGGAATGATTTGCAGATTTGGTTTAACATGATATGTCGCATGTTTCCCAAAATGGAATGCGCACACAATAACACAAACTGACCACTCACACTAAATGTTAACCTCCAAGCAGAGACATCCAGAGCCAATACAAAAATGATACTTCGATGAATGAACTGGAGATTTTAAGGGGATTTGGAGGCTAGAGAATGCTACATGGGGGCCAAACATTTTAAGAAAACATGATCAAATAATGTCAATATATTCACAAATAGTGCAAATATATTCACAAATAGTGCAAATAACTTATAAAACGGTGTAAATATTCTTAAGAGGAGCTGCAGATTGTAATCCGGGGTAATACAAGAAAACTAAATATTTGACACAACAGGTTGTCAATCCCATAATTCTTACCACCCATTAGCTTTAGTTCTTAATGACCATTGGTTAAACACATCAAAACATATAAGATGGACATTTAATGGTTAACATTCATTTCTAAGGATGTTTGACTTTAGTATTTGAAAACATCATTTGTGACCATGACCTTATACCGGTATAAGGGAGGTCTCTATTCTGTTCTACTCCAGGTGACATTACCCCCACCCCCCCCCCCCCCACTCCCTCACATTAAACCCCTTTATGCAATAAAATAAATTATGGTTGTATTCATTTCATTTTTCTTCATTTTTACTTATTCATGTGATTTGAGAAGAAAAATACGTGTAAATACTGTACTTTACATGAAAATCAGTCCCCTTCCCATGTTGAGGTTATCAATACTCAATCTAATGTGCAGAGATAAGGCAATGGTCCCAAGGACTGAAAGGCAATAACATGACAAGATCACCTGGTTTCAATTGCAATTAAAAATGTAAGAAATATTTGCGACAGATGATGGATGCAAACAAGAAAGACGGATGCTCAATTCTGGTCACAAAGTCACAAATGTCATCAGACTCATCACTTCATGGTGGGGAAATCAAAACCATAAACAATTCAAATAAGTCCAGAGATTCAGACATTTCAGCATCTAAATCTGTTGAGGATACTTGGGTAAATTGTTATGACCTTTCAATAGTACTTGATTTCCTGGATTTGTCAAGATGCAATTACTATAACACCTTGAAGTGTATCATCCTGACTAGAACCATTTTAATAAAAATATCAAACAGACGTACCAAAGAAGGAGGGAGTGTATGAACACAATACACAGATTAGTGACTTCCTCAAAGGAGGATAAGTGAAATGATACAATGCATGGCCGAAGGTCCTGGAGAATAACACAAATCCCATCTCATATATGTGCATAAAATCTTAGACTTGAATAAGTTTACATAATCATCAATATTGACACTTCTTGTATATCCAATATTATTGTGTGATTCAGATGTGAGTTCAATGAGTTTAATACCCCAAGTTCATTCAATCTGATACTCTCTACATTTTCCTGTTTTCAAAGTAGCAAAATGCTAGGACTGATAGAAAGCTACGATCTTTCATAATGTGGCTCACAGTCACAACACCTCAAATATCATGGGTACTTCCAAGGATTTTTTTTATTACAGAACAAAAGCTCCCATTGCTTTTATTTGAAGTTAAATTATCTCAAAATATTTTGACAGTAAATTAGATAAGTCTCCCCCATCCCAAATCACAGCTGGCCTTTAATGTAATAAAGGATGTAAAGGTATATTGGTCACATATGGAAACCCGTTCTCCTCTCCCGAACCATAAGGATTAAACTGCCCTCTTTATATCACATTTGTTTGATAAAACCTGAATCAATTTCCAATAAATTTACAACTAGACCTCAAATTGGGGTGCCAGTTAATATTATCACAAGGGGAAAATAATTTACTTATATTGAGTGTATAATGCAAAGTGACAAACACATTCACTCATGATTCATAATATGACATACACACAAATTACCTATTCTAAACATGACCCATTCATTGACTTACCATTCTAAACATGACCCATTCATTGACTCACAATTCAAAATGTGACCCACTGATTTACTCACCATTCTTAATGTGATCCATTCATTGACTTACCATTCTAAATGTGACCCATTCATTGACTCACAATTCAAAATGTGACCCACTGATTTACTCACCATTCTTAATGTGATCCATTCATTGACTTACCATTCTAAATGTGACCCATTCATTGACTCACCATTCTAAATGTGACCCATTCATTGACTTACCATTCTAAATGTGACTAATTCATTGACTTACCATTCTAAATGTGACCCATTCATTGATTCACCATTCTAAATGTGACCAATTCAATGACTCACCATTCTAAATGTGACCCAATCATTGACTTACCATTCTAAACGTGACCCATTCATTGTGGTTGTGGCTGAACTGACCTCCCATCTCTGGGGGAAGTTGAGACTTGGAGACAAACCTGTACAATTTGTCAATAGATGTCAGCAGGTCAATCTGAAAAACAAAAGGAAGCATTAGTTATAGCATGTTAATGCTTTTCAGTATATTTCACAGAGATTAACAGGTTTCTTAAATTCAGCTCTGGTATATATGAATGAATCTTGAGGAAATTATTGTTGAGTAATATCCTTGGAGGAAAAAACTACAATGAATATTATAAGATAAAAAAGAACAATTTTATTAAGAACCCTTAAATAATGCATGATTAAATTTCTGCTAAATTCATCATTTATTGAGTTCTATTCTTGTTGTGCTTTCCAATGTTTTTTCTTTGCTTTTCAATGATACATAGAATCAGATAACACAAGGTGAGATATGGCAGGTAAATAGGTTATCAGAGATTAACCCACAGCCACCCTTATCTTTGTTCACATTTGTGGTTTTCTAACCAAAACTTGAACTTGAGAAGATAATCTATACATACAACTATACATACAATACACACCGGGGTAGTGAGATCCAACATCAGTTGTTCAGTTCTTGTGCTGTACCAATCTGTATTGCTACTGAGATTGTCCCCATTGATCATCTCCGTCGCAATACAGAAAATATTGGTACAGAGGGGACATTCTCAGTCGCAATACAGATGATCACACGATAAAAACGTTATAGAATGATTTGAAGTGCGATACAGGATATATTCTGCTCACGATATTCTGTATTGGCACTCGACTTCGTTTAGTTCTAATACGTTATTTCTCGAGCAGAGTATATCCTGTATTGCACTTCAAATCATTGAATAACTTATAACGCTGCTGAATGATACCAATGTATTTTACTTTTTTCAAGAAAATTTTCACTATAAAAAGCTACTTGAATATTCTTTTTGAGAAAGCTTTGCTTATAATGGCATATCATGGCTAACTTATTCCATGGGAGATTGAGATTTATGTATTTTAAATGACTGCTGAAAAGTTCCACTTAACTTAATAGTTTTGACCCTGCATGGAATCCATCTCAGTATTCTTAAAATAGTTCTTGAGAAAACTGAAGAATTGTTTCATTTGATTGATCTATTTTTGTAGATGCACATTACTGATCTACAATACACAAGTATTGCTGTACAAAATGTATATTCTGTTTTGATATACATATACAGTACAGCAGACTTGGTGTAAACTACACAGTATTGATGTACACTGTACAGTATTGATGCACAGTATTTCTGCACACAAATGAACAATATTTATGTACACTGTATAATTGATCTTCAGTACTGGTGTACAGTATTTATGTACACCTTTAAGTATTGATCTTCAGGGTAGATGTGCAGTATTTATATACTGTACTGATGTACAACATTGATTTACAGTATTGATATACAATAATTGTGTACAGTACAGTAGTAGATTTATGTGGCATATTGATGTACAATTCTGATCTTCAATATTAATGTATAGTTCAGTAGTATGAAATGTTCAGTATAAACTGTACAGTATTTATATAAACTATACAGTGTACAGTATTAATGTACATTACAGTTGTTTAATTGTAAACTGTACAGTATTTATGTATACTATACAGTGTACAGTACTGATGTTCAATATTGATCTGCGAAACAGTGGTATAATTGTAAACTGTACAGTATTTATGAATACTATACATGAACAGTATTGATGTTCAATATTGATGTACAGAAAAGTCATATAAATCTAAAATGTACAGTATTTATGTACATTATACAGAGTACAGTATTGATGTACATTAGAGTATATACCTTGAGGTTAACTTGTGGTTTGAAGACGGGAGACTTGAAGAGCAATGACTGTGCCTTCTTGTCTGTAAGCACATGCACGATGGAGATAGCACCGGGGTTGTGGCCCTGAAATCAGAAAATTGCAAAACTATTATTAATTAAGACATTAATTTATATGTTGTATATAAAGGACTTTATAAAGGTATTTTGTTTTGCATTTGGCTTTATAAAGGTGCTTTGCTTTACAAATGTGTTTGGCCTTATAAAGGTGTTTGGCTTTAAAAAGGTATTTGGCTTTATAAAGGTGCTTTGCTTTACAAATGTGTTTGGCCTTATAAAGGTGTTTGGCTTTAAAAAGGTATTTGGCTTTATAAAGGTGCTTTGCTTTACAAATGTGTTTGGCCTTATAAAGGTGTTTGGCTTTAAAAAGGTATTTGGCTTTATAAAGGTGCTTTGCTTTACAAATGTGTTTGGCCTTATAAAGGTGTTTGGCTTTAAAAAGGTATTTGGCTTTATAAAGGTGCTTTGCTTTACAAATGTGTTTGGCCTTATAAAGGTGTTTGGCTTTAAAAAGGTATTTGGCTTTATAAAGATGCTTTGCCTTACAAATGTGTTTGGATTTATAAATGTGTTTGGCTTTAAAAAGGTGTTTGGCTTTGTAAAGGTGTTTTATTTGGCTTTGTAAAGGTGTTTTGACTTTATTTTGCTTGGCTGCAAAAACCTGCTATCATTGAAACAGAGCTCAACATTCTAAGCAATGAAGATTACCAAATGGATGATTCTTTGTCAAATGTGTCAAAGTTAATGTCTCCATTGGAGCCTGGGCTTATCTCAGAGTCTAAACAAATCTCTTTATACACCAATGGAATTTACATGTTAGTTTTTGCTGGCATTAAGTACAGTGTATTCTTTGAATATTCATCTCAGGCTTTTGTGAGAAATGTATCTGTATTTGGATCCTATGTCACTATAACATTCAACAAATTTAAAACTCAAAATTATAATTTTAGAAGTTCTTTGAAGTAAGGTTCGATAATTAATTATCATTACATGTCTGTCTTTCAACACTAAATAGCCTAGGAATGGCTAATTGATAAATGATGAAATAAGTTCATGCTTTTAAATCTCATACACATTTCGATCAAAAGGTCCTAGAAAATGTGACAATACTCCTATTCGCGATAAGAGTTCAGGTGGTAATTTACATAAATATCTCCCATGATGCATCGCTTTGGAAGGGACAAATTTTCATTGGCCCGCCGAACGAGTCGATTAGTCTGAACGTTTCTCAGCTTCTGATCTTCCATCAGCCCTGAAGCATAGTTATATAATCCAATCTATTCAAAAATCAGAAAGATAATCAGAGATTCAAAGTAACATTATTTATATTTTTCAATCTTCGATGGCGTCTGAGCAATTTCTGGGATATCAGTGACGTCACTGGAATTGGACAGCATTTTCAACTACAGATTTCTTTGGATTTGGGGATTATAGCTCAAAAAGCTTTGTCATATATCTTAATTACATACATACCTATCGTTTGTGCAAATGGAACTCTACATAAATGTTTAATAGAGCCGCAGTGCGGCATTGAAAATAGCACCCCTGTGTAATCCAACGGGAAAGAACCCAGATGTAGACGAAGTTGTACCATACATGAGAGCTCTTCAAACGCGAGGTAGCTAAACTGAACGAAATTAAATGTTATCGCGTATTGGTATATTGAAACATAAAATACTGAATCATCAGAAATGAGGCACAGGAGTAAATTTAATCCCATCATGCATCAATTGCATACAGGAAATGAAATATCTTATAAAATCAAAAATCAACACTTTCAGTCAAATCCAAAAAAATCTGTCTTTTGACAAAATAAATTCATTGTAATTTCTACATTCATATCACATATCAGAAGTCATACAAAAGTGACCCTAGGAAACTTCTGCTAAAGAGATCAAACAGGGGAGTCTAATTAAGGTAATTAAGTTAATTAAGGTAATTAATGTCTAGTAGTCTGTTACTGTAGGTGAGGGCACATGAGTGATCCATCTACAACAGGTGGGACAGTCCACTGGGCCTGCCACCCAATACAAATAGTTCATTTTGGAACTGTTATTTCTGGCCATTTGTAACCCAATATGATGCTAAGTGTGCTATAAACAACCATATGGTCCTGTTTTTTATCTAGTGCATTTTTATCCTTATTAGGGGCTCAGTTTCAAAATTTGTCATTTGAATTTTTGAATTTTATTAAGGTTATTTTCTTGTTTAGTCCAGCATTCAAGCCTGAAAGACTGCTCAGGCATGAAGTTATTCATAGGTCCATTACAAACTTGAATCAAAGACACAAAATATAATAAATATTGCACCTTGAAGAGCAAAATAGCGGCCATATAATTTTCACAGCATGCCCAAAACTGAATATGATCTTGCAGAAGCAAGAAATGACAATATAGTGCTTTTTTCAAAGACTGATAAAAATCCTTTTGGTTGTTCTGACTTGTATGCAAGACTGTGAACCTTATCTCTCAGCTGGTAACATTACTTCCAGAGACCCAGCTCATATTTAGATCTGTCAGCTTTGGGAAGATAAGAAGACATTGTATTCCTATCATGTCTTCAGGGAGTACATGCCACACTTCATTCTCTGCAACATTCTTATGTAACAGCTTGAGTGGTGGTTAAAGAAGCAGCATGATCTTCAGGGAGTATTCATATCATGAGCACAAGAAAGATACCCTGCAGGCAGAGCCTAGTTATAAACTACCCTCTGCCTAGTATAGACTATATTAGAGTTTAGAAGCCCCTTCCCCACGGCTGATGCCCATGACAGCGCGGGTCTTAAATCTTTTCACACCTTCAGCACTAGCCTATTCTCAACCAATCAGCGAGCTTGAAGCAACAAGTGGTAAATGTGTGCACAATAATTATGCGATTATGTCAGAGAAAAAGATCATATATAGAACATCATCTGTATTTCGACGACAATCTCTGATTCGCTCGGTGAGTCCAGAGATTTATTGAAAACTGAAAGAGTGACACTTGTGATATTTGTTCTGATGTTATGAGAGTTGATCTCTAGCTTTGATTTCATTTTTTGATGATTGATATGTTTTTGGATCATGTTCTGTATCAACAACATAAAATAGTTGGTTCCATCCATTGATATTGTTTTGTTTTGTTTATGTTTTGATTTGGCAGACATTCTCTTGTGACTTTATAATGTCAAAGCAATAAGCCTTCACTAGCCAATAAAAGGTAAAACAATTTCTAATGTGGCTGTATTTTCAAACTGTTGCCTAACAACATCAAATATTCTCAACACTCAGCAAACAAACTTGTGTATGGGGGGGGGGGGTGAGGCTGAGGGCAACAAAGCTTATCATCAATGCTGAAGGCTGATCAGGAAATAGCTGTCAAGAACTCAGAGTCACAGACACCTGTCATTTTGAATCAAAATTGATCAGTCGCCAAGATCAAGAGTGCCATCCCACCCACAAACAGTTGACCTGTCACATTTATCCTAGAAATCAACCAGCCAAAGAATATCAGAGAAAAAACATTTCAAGGAACAAATATGCTCAATTAGATAACCAGCTACCGGAAATGAAAAGTTGTGTCACCTTATGAGTAGACATGTCTTGTGTAAGCCGCCAAACTTAGATACGGCAGAAAAATTAAGACCCGAAAATCTTTTTTAATTTTGGACATTATTTAGGCCTCATTAATACACCAAAAATGAGACCTCATTATGAGAAAATGGTCTTTATTTTGAATCATAAGGTAACTAATCACCATGCAAGGAGTAGCTGAGCTCGTCAATGTTAAATCCTGGCAATCATTCTTTCAATTATGATAACACAGCAAACACAGGAGCAGCAGTAAATGAACTGCCCCAGCTGTTTTAAATGATGGTCAGTTTGGTTGCCATAGTAACTGACAGAAGATCTCGGTTACCGTGGCAACACAATGAATAATTGATACTAAACCTGTGATTAATGCAAAGATATATAAGAGTGTCCAGTTTAATTAGATTAACAGTTTACTTAATCATACCACTGGGGTTGAAATATCTTTCTATACATATGAAGATTGATGGTAGTATCTTCCTGTTTGGTAAATTCACAGGGTCAAGATTTTTCCTTATCTAGCTGAGAGGAGTGAGGGGGAAAACATCAAAGACATGATGGAAGATTGAACAGAAATGGTAGGCTAAGAAACAAGTTTGGACAGAAGGATTAAAAGGACAGAGACAAAAGGATTTGAACAGATAAACAGTCACACCCTGACACCCCATCCCCCATGCACTATAGCGGTTCGGCTATTTAAAACCAAACACTTTGTTCAAAATGATTGACCATGTATATGAAAACATTGAAAGGGTCAGCTAAACCAATTCTTCTCTCTTCATCTCAACTTCTCAGCTTATAAATACAGATAGCTAAATATTATTAGTGTTTAGATGATCATGTGTTGATCTCTTATACAAATATTTATCAATGTTTCATCTAATCACTAAGGTGATTGTTGAGTCTGACACTCTCAGATCAGTGTCTGTCATTTAACACTTCATGTAAATGTTTATGAATATCAAAGTTGACACTTCATGTAAAATCGACAAGGTGTCAGTCATAAGAACATAAATGTATTTCAATCGTGATTTAATGTAATATAGTTTTATAATTTTATTGGCTATGATTTAATAAAAATACATAAAAAATTGGACATCAACATAAAGAGTCCAGTCAGCATTTTGCTTACATATACATGTACAATGATAACAAGGAGACTTAAAAATGTAATACATTATTTTTTATTAAATTTTATCTCTCAGTTTAATCATTCAAAAGTAACCAGAACAACGGCAACGCCAAAGCGTAGCGAATCCCATCGAACATTTTTCAAAAGGGGCACCTTCTACCAAAAGTGTCATTAGACAGTGTGCCATGCTTATACGTATTCACGTACCAAATATGAACAAAATCGCTCTACTACTTTTCGAGTTATAGTAAAATAAGTTAAAATGGCAGCCATTTTTCAAAATGGCCACCTTCTACCAAAAGTGTCATTAGACAGTGTGCCATGCTTACAGTATTCACATACCGAATATGAACAAAATCGCTCCACTACTTTTCAAGTTATAGTAAAATATGTTAAAATGGCGGCCATTTTGAAAAATGACCGCCCTCTACCAAAAGTGTCATTAGACAGTGTGCCATGCTTATACGTATTCACATACCAAATATGAACAAAATCGCTCCGCTACTTTTCGAGTTTTAGTAAAATAAGTTAAAATGGCGGCCATTTTGAAAAATGGCCGCCTTCTACCAAAAGTGTCATTAGACACTGTGCCATGCTTATAGTATTCACATACCAAATATGAACAAAATCGCTCCACTACTTTTCGAGTTACAGCAAAAATCGTAAAATAACGAGTAAAGGCCGCCATTTTTCAAGATGGCTGCCATGTGCTTTTTTAATATCTACATTTCTAGCTTTATTAATGTCCTATATAATTTTTTTACATCTAAAACATATTGCTATTACAGTTTTACATATTGCACCTAAATTACTGTAAAATCGGCACTAAAATGGCCGCCATTTTTAAATGAGCGGCCATTTTGAAAATCGGCTTTCGAGCAGAACTTCTATCCCCATAGGGTATATGTGTACAAAATATGAATAAAATCGGGCCAACGGTATTTGAGTTATTGCCCGGACGGACGGACGGACGGACGGACGGACGTACGGACGGACGTACGGACGGACGGACGGACGGACGGACGGAGGCGTTCCCTATATCCCTCCGAACTTCGTTCGATGGGATAATAATAAAGTCTGTAGTATATCTTAATTCACCAAGACCCCTTCTAATTCCTTGTGTAATATAATCAAAGCAGAGAAGTAACAGAAAAGAGAATTTTGTTATTTCATTTGCAAGATATTCCTAGATGTGACTGTACCTACCTGGACATAGTAAAGAGCTTCTAGGAGATTGTTCAAAACTTGAATTGTTATCCCTATGGCATTTATTGTACCTACCTGGACATAGTAAAGAGCTTCTAGGAGATTGTTCAAAACTTGAATTGTTATCCCAATGGCATTCACAAGGATGGTCAACCCATGGACACCTACATCACTTCTGAAATAGAAAATAAATTACAATTAAAGATTGCTTGGTTTCTATCTAGTACAGCAAGCAGTCTCATATAAGGGCATGGTGAACTAGTTTGATTTAATATATGATTATGCAAAATATGCTCGCATAGACTGAATCGGAAAATAAAGAATCAATTTTAGAAAATGTCAAATATGAATCATCTTTTGAAATTAACTTTCATTTCAGGGCCGTCAGATGGGGGGGTGCGATGGGTGCGACCGCACCCCCCTTTTGACACCCCCCAAAAAAAATTTGAAAAAAAAATTTTGTGAAAAATATTTTTTTTTTTTTGAATTTTTTTTCATTGACTCATACACTTTTAAAATGCCCAGAAAGCACCAAATAGTATCTCAAAATTGTAAAATTTTCTGGGGGGGGGGGCGGATGGGCCACCCCTCACACCCCCACAAAACAATGAAAAAGTTCTGATTTATTTTACGTGTAGTCTCAGATACTTTTAAAGTGCCCAGACATCATCAAGTAGCTCCTTGATATAGTCAATGTTTTTGGGGGACTGATACTTGCTCCCCCTCTGGCATTCATTTACTCAAACACATTAAAAGTGCTCAGAATTAATCAGACAGCATCTTAAATTCGTAGAATTTTCCTGTGCTGCCCCCTCGCTCCCATTAGAAGTAAATTATTGAAAAATCTGAATTTCTTTATATTGATTCTATTGATTATTAAAACACCTTAAAGTGTCTAGAAATCACTGAATGTGATCTTAAACTGGTAAAAAGTTTCGGGTAAACATTTATGCCCTACTAGCACACCTTACACCTATTCCAGTGTTTCTCCAAATTGCTCATTCGATATTTAGTCTAAAAACAATAAAATACTACAAAATAGGCTCAATGGCCCCAATATAGGGAGTAACCAACCCCCCCTGACTTACGCGATTTGATTTACGCGGCAAAAAATGACAATTTTATATTCTCTTTAGTAAAAACCGCACCCCCCTTGGAGAAAAGTGTCTTACGGGCCTGCATTTAGTATTGATTTTGAAAGTAAATCATTATTTTCCATTCAAAATATTTATGTCTCCCTCCAAGTAGTGATAATATGCAATTTCATAAGCACACTGTTTAATTAATATATCATCATTAACATAACAGTGTCACGAAAATGTGTAACAATCGTTACAGATACTGACACCAAACTTTGATTACAGTTACAAAAATGGTGGCTCCTGATAGTGACATAATAAATAGTCAAAACAAGAGATCATAAAAAATAAAACATACTGACTATGTATCTTTAAGGGCAATTACATGTACAAGGAGATAGTCTTACATGAATGTACACATTTCCAGATAATACCATGCTTAGGTTTTACTTATTCCAAATGTTAAATTACATAACATACTATTCTGCAACTCTATATAATTCTAACCATTATCCTAAGAGGGGGGGTGTAGTCAGTAGTCTATCTTACTACCCTTTTCAAAACTTCAATTCTTAAAAGAAAGCTTCATCAACTCACTTTAAATATGAAGTAATCCTTTGATCGATAGCATTACCCAACCAGAATGAAACAATCAAAATTTGCTACCTAATCAGAACTGCAGCCTGAGACTTTTATACCTTCATAAGTATCTGGCACCTTTATCATATTCAAACTCACAATACAGTTACTTATGTGAACATTTTGTGTAATTTTATCTATCCCAATAAGAGTGTAGTAAGTTCTACTAGTGTCTGAGCCCCAGGGTAGAATCTTACATACATGTATACATGTACTGCATGGTTCATTGTATGTTGAGAAGGATTTATGGTTTTGATATCATGTTTGACAAAGTATTCTGGTTGCTGAAAACTGCATGTATACATCATAAATCTCATTGTGATATCTACAGACTCTGCAAGTCGTAGATGAAAGGGGGACTATGGTACATCAGAATGCATAAATCTTGGAATTTGATAAAACTATACTGTAACATTCACCATGGTTTCAAAGAGATGAGAATTATTAGGATGCCAGATTGCAGATATAGAAGGAAAATGCTGACTTCAAGAATTCACGTCAATAATCTACTTACCTAGCTAGTCTTCTTGACATATTTGTATGTGTGAAAGCTAGCATTTTGGGAAAATGTATTTTCATACAGAACTATGACAATGATGCTAAATTTTGAGTTGTTCAACTTTTCCAGACGTTCTTGAATTAATTGCTAATTAATTGTGTTAATTAGTGAATTAATTGATTTTAAGATATAATATTACGTTTCATTATCTCAGCATCTCCTAATTCGGTTTAGAATTTCGGCCCAGAATTTCAAATTCAGGAAGTATGAGGTTTTGTATCACCATACAAACCACAACATTAGTTCAGTAAAAACACCAACAAAACATAGAAACCACAATTTTGACCATATTAGGCATTTACTGACCAGGGATGGTGATTTACTTGAATGGCCAATGAAACAATATTGAATTATGAATGACTTACTCTTTGTTGTTTTGTCCTCATTGCAACACTGCATTCTCTAAACTTCCTTGTTATAAACTTTTTGAGAAATCAGAATAGTTTTTGTTGTTTTAGTTGCCTTGCTGATATGATACTTTCTGCATTATCCTATGCATTAATCCACATATTTAATATGTAAATTAACATCTAATCCATTTACTTTTAATTCCACTCCAGATTGAAGGTATCACATAACACAGAAAACATTGACCTAATAGCTCCTTTAATATTTCTAATTGACATAAAATTGAAAGGAAATGAGATTATATCCTCATAAATCCATATTAGTGATTTTATATCCGAGTATCCATCTGCTATATCTCCTGTATGTATCTCCAATATCTTTATTCCTCTACTGCAGTATATATCCTTCCCTATCTCTATTTCCCTGTTAACCTGATCTTTGCTTTCACACTACTGAGGATTGATGCACTGGTGAAACCCTTGAGGACTAATCAGGGGTGGTTACAGAGTTTGGCCATTTTAAGATTCCCCAAATGGGAAACTGCACTTCATTATAGCATTTGTACACTGGTGGATCTAGAAGAGGTTTGAAAGCAGATATTCAATTTACAAATTTTTTCTTAAATGGAATAAAAAAAATTAAATATGAAGTTTCGCAAAATTCTGGGTCCACCCCTGATGTTAATCAGGTTGAATAAAAACTTGTTTCTCAACTCCCATCTAGTTGATATTTTCCCTGTCTGCTATGTTTACTCATGATCAGGTTTAAATAATCCTATTATATTGTCACTTCTATATTTTACTCTATAGACCTTGCATCAAGTTTCTGACCCCCCCCCCCCAAATTTACTCCCACTGACCAAGACTAACTCACAAGAAGACTAACATGTCTTCTCCCTAATCTTATCACCTCACAGGGTAAGATTCCATTATAATCCTTCAAAACAATAGTACCTGATTTTGACACCTTAATTGGCTGATTATAAATGGACTTAATTACAGGTGTTGTGTCATAATATTGAGAAAGATAAGTACTATGTCTCCTTATTTGGTTCATCCCATTTTGATACTCATAGCATCTTTCTGTTTCACCTGAAACATCTCAAGACTGAGAAGAAATGAGATGTCATGGTTTATCATGATGGGTTCATCCTTTTTATGAAAGTTCATAAGATAAAATGCATAGGAATAAGAAATTGTTCAAACATGTATGACTTAATAATACATTTTTCTATAAGGAGGCGGGCTAGACAAGTTAGATACAGAGAGATATATCAAATACATGTAGCAAATTAATTTAAATAATTCACTGTAACTTTCCCTGACTTTATCTTTTAATTTATGACTTTGAGAAGAAAATTTGTGAGGCAGTATTCTAAACAAAAGATATTTAGGGAAGTAAATAAGAAATTAAGAAACATATAAAGTGGTTGGATGTATCCAAGATGAGAAACAGCATGTTACCATAGTAACACATGGCAACAAGTAGTTTTACATCTGTCTCAACACAACAGAGTGTATCATGAACTATTGGTGGTCAATGAAAAGGTCAGAAACAGCAAATATTTGAACTCACATGTTTCTAATTCATCAAGGTAGGCAACGTGGAATGAAAAATAACTTGGGCAGGTATCCATACTGTACTAACATATCGATGTAAGGATATCCAAGTCATCAAGCTTGGCTCCCCTTATACATCTTTAATTTACTCTTTAGATGTCATGACTTCACTGCCCCTCTAAGAAATTAATCAACTTCACATGTAGGGGAGACAGGTATTGAGGGGGGGGGGGGTTAAGACAATTGATCAAGAGAATGTTATTGGTACAAATTCAACCATATGTCTTCATTTTTGTATTGCATCTCAAAGTGCATTCCCCTCCTCTCTTTCAATGGTCTAATCATGCACGGAGAGTATAGTATCTCTATAAATGTAGTTTATGATATTTTGTTATTTCAACCACTTGAACCACTTGAATCTTGAACCTCCAGATGCAGACAATAGTGATTTTTCACCCTGTTTCCCCATTGATTAAAATCCCTCTTGCCCTCTAACTATGACAGAAGATTTGACATTCCAAAAGCAAAGCAGTTTCCAGCATTGCCATTCTGAGAATTTAAATGTGAGAATGAATGTTAGCTCCACTAAGACAGAATTTAGTCAGTCATATTTTAAGAGCACATATTCCTCGATATTCTGATTGAACAAAATATTTCATTTACCTCGAGAGTATAGATAGCCTCAACCTATTACAAAGGGTAGTGATGTTTAACAGCATGTCCAAAAAAAAGAACACAATAAACAAATCTGTATATAAGTGACCTACTGATACATAAGAACTTTTTCAGAGGTGTTTAATTCAGGGCAAGTCTATTTTTCTTGTACACATTCCTGGATCCTGTCTACAGCATGGGAAAACCTCAAATAAAGTCATGATAAAATGCAATTCCCAAACTTCAAATTTTTGAGGCTGTGTATCCCTGACCCTGATATTAAACAAAAATTGAAAATCCATTTATACAGGAATATGACTAAAAACAGCATTTTCAGCCTCATTCAATATTCTTCATAGTTTTTCTGCCTTATCCAATTCAATCCTTTTCTTTCTGGATATCGTTGATGCAACAGAAGACACTTTGAGTATCAGAATGGAACAAAATGGAATTTCTGCAAACTAAAATCAAAATTCTGGGCATGAACTTCATGTAAGACCATATGAAATTTAGTGTCTTAAAGGGTTCCGATAAGCATCCCGTATAAAAACAATATGGCGTCTCCAGGCGAATCGACTGGATCAGTCCATTTTTAAGAAATAAGGGGAGTTCTGTAAAATCCAGTTTATTGAAATTGTCTTTGAGATAAAGTAATCCGTTTATAATGATTTTGAAAACATTATCCATAGAGTGATTGCGTTCAAAGAATATGTACAACAGCCAATATAAATCCTTGTATTAGAACTGCTTTGTTTCATTTGTGGGATATTTCATATACCAAGCTGTGTGCTTTTACGTTATGGGGAAATTTAAATGTCAATTTTTCCCTATTATACACAAATAGAAGATCCTGAAACGTCAACCATAAATGTGGAATTGATTTGTCAAAATAAAAATCACCGTTTTATAAATATGTGAAGATCTATAATATACTTATGCTATATTACAGTTAGAGGTGTTGACACAACGACCTCGAGCCTGTGAACCCTTGAGTATTATTCCGGGATCGGGCCTTTTATACTAAACGGTGAGCAACACCAGAAACGAGCGTTCGATTTGCTAAACGATATGCGTCACCCTTTAAAATGATCTCTGCTATGGATGGTTTGAACTTTCTTTTGATGATAGATACCTAGATGAATCAGATCATTCCAAATTGAAATAAAAATCTTGTGGTTGAATCGAATATCTCTATTATGTGACCACTAGACCAACATTTATTTATCAATGGACAACTAGTTACCTCCGTATGTTTTCCATCTTTTAGAATCACGTCTAGGATTACATTGAAGGTTAAAGGCTTCTAGAGTAAGAATGTGTGAAGTTCATCTTGTTTATTTGTAAACTTTCAATCTGTTGACACATCTTAACCTGGAGATGTGATGAATAAAGAAATGGTAATTGACCAGGATTTTCACTTTGTTTAATCAATGCTGGAGGGTTCAACTCTGCTTTGCTCCCATTTTCTCCTACAGGAGAAGCCTTATTGTTTGAAAAGAAATGATAACCATGAACATGTTAGCACAGTGACATGGCCAATGGGAAAATACAAAAAAATGAATCCAGAACACAGCAAGAAAAATAAAACATCTAAGAGTACAGCAGTCATAAGAAAAACAAACCCCAACTATCCCAAATGAATATGAATCATGAAATATTTTAAACATCAAACTGTACAAAGTCAGAAAAAGTTAAAATGAGAATTTGGCTTCCAATTGAAAGCAAACTGAGATTATAAGGTAGTATTTAAAACTGATGGATGCTTCATGGCCAATTGCAACAGTGTTTTGCTCTTGGCAACTGAATTAGAAAACTGGTTGCCAATAATTGGTCAATAGTCTAACTGCCTCAATGTTTGAACCATTTTGAAGATATTTGGTATTAGATTGTGCAATCTTGGAAAATTGGAGCACTTTTCAACAATTCTCAGTCTGATCACTGATACAAAATTTTTGCATTTAGTTGGGAATTAACCCTGAAGCGACACTGAGGTATTTACATGTCCAGATTGACTGGTGTCCACTTTGTTATCTTAAGGTATACATGACTTTACTTCCATCCTATCTCAGACTTGATAGGGTTACCTTTCAGTTTGACCCTCAATTGCACTGAAGCAGCCAATGATTCAATTGGCTGAAATGGATCAACCGCCATCCACAAGTGGTGACATTAAAAATGTTCAGGTTTATAAACCTGGGGGGGGGGGGGTATATTAAGAGGAGTTAAAGAGTTTGCTCAGTGTAGTTTTTAAGTCAAGAGTTGTATATTCTTCTCATGGTTCAAATTTTGTAAGAAAAGTAGATAGGGGCCAAGGGAGACTTGATACAGGAGTGCCATAATTACAATAATGGATTTTGGAATTTGCTTAGTTATTTTAGTTATGGACCCAAACGCTCTGTTCATAATGACATTCCAAGATCAATCAAAAGTTGTTATGTTCAGATCTGACAAGCTAGTAGTTTGTAAAGGTGGGGTGCTAAACCTCTCTAGAGACTCTCATAAAACATAAGTCAAACAGGTGGAACATAATGGAGGACAAGCAATCCCATCATGTAATGTCATTAGAGTACATTTTTGATAGAGGCAATACTAATGTATCATGGGAAGCCATCTACCTCCTTTGCTGTCAAAGAACCAAATCACACTACCAGTCTTTGAAATGTCACATTACAGAGGAATATGAGAGACACAGAGGAGAACATAGAAGGAATGCATTAAAGGGGCAACATATTCATTTGATCTCATAAACTGGAAAAAGATAATCTGGTATTTTTCGATATCTTTAAAGAAAGGAACGAAATTATTCAGCTTATACTGATATTTTCTGAATAGATATATAATTCTCCCAAGTGGCATGTATCCATCATTTTGTTTATAAACATTGCAACTCAAAAAGCAACTAAATCTTGACTCTTGGTGGTTCAAACATTTTGAGGAGTTTCCAAGTTAACTTTTATTTATGGTGTACATGTATTTCCCCAAATATATTGCATTTTATTTGAAATATCAAATGAAAATAATAACAATTGACCCCCCTTCCTTCCAACCTAATCCTTGCAAGTCAAAGACAATTAATGAAGGAAAGGTCATGTGAAAGTACACATATCTTATATATTTAGATTGTTCTGCAACTTTAGTTACAGGCTCATTGGGACTAATTAAGAACCCATGGAAATCATTTCAAGAAACTCTGGTTTTTGAAATTCTAGCTCTATGTACTATTAATACCATAGAAATGCAACAAAACACCCAGATGTAATAAAATACCCATAGCCAGATATAAGATAAGTGAACCATATCTGCTTCATGCAGTTTTTGTGCAAGCCATAACAGTTCAAGATCATCTGGCATTCAAGAGGTACAGCAAGTTTAATTGCTTCAGTTTGAGTAGTTTTGGGGTGTTTATTACCTCTGACATTTGCCTTTCTGAGATTTTGGGTCATTTGAGTCGGAACCATTCAAGAATATGGTGTTTTGATGGCATAAAGGCTAGCGTTAAAGCTACATTTAGTTCCAGTAGTGTAATAAATCTGCCTTTAACCATTCACAGATTTCCATTTTTAACTACCACTGCTGATTCTTTCTTTTTCCATGGAAAAAATCTATGCCTTAATTTTTTATCTCAAAAGATTAGATTATTTACTGAACACATTTAGGTTGTTGTTTCTTTTTATTAATTTCTCTATTTTCAGTTTATTCAAGCAAGGAAAAACCATGAATATCAAATAATCCGAGACCTAGCATTGGTGATTATCACAGACTGGGTAAATAGCAAATATATGTCTGCATTCTAACTTATCACACTCTTTTATTCCAAAAATTGATATTCAAAATTGGTAACTCAACTAAAATAATGTTCCATAATTTGATATGGAAAGGGAAGTGCAAGTAGTGAGTACATTTATACATGTATTTTAGGCCAAAATGAAACTAAGAAAAAGAGTACCATGATAACCTAATGTGTAAATTAACACACTTAAAAAATGAAGATCTATTTAGAAAGCAGAAAGATAAAAATTGGTTTCCTCCACAAATGAATTGTTTATTTAACCCTCTTTAGATAAAGGGTTTCCACAGACTTATCCAAAGAAAACCCATCACTCCCATAATTTGGTATACTCAAATCTGAATATGCTTCACCTGATTGGTCAAAAAGTCAAATGATCTTCACAAAGGTTACCTTGGAAGGGGCATGTTTCACCCAGATGTTTATGTGGAACTCAATGACATGAATGGGCCCCCAAAGGAAGAGTGCCAAAACACTTCAGGAAAAGTTGTAAATTTACCTTGAAAAGATGCAAAGATTACAAGTTTGTTTATGTCTCAAACGCATTTCCGATGCACATATGAAGAGATGTCCATGTAAAATGGATCAAGACATATATAGATTTAGTATAACCTGTATGCGTGTGTTTGGTATCTACCGGGAGGGGGGGGGGGGGAAGTCTACCACCTCTAATATCTCTTGAAGAAAGTAGTTACTCTCAACAGTGCTCTTAAGTGTAGATTAAAAGGGACTCTGTTTAATCATAACAGTGAGTGTAGCAAGTTTCTGACAGAACACCCTGACATCTTTACTTAAACTACTAAATAATTTTGTTCATTAGGATAAGTATGGGAGAATGCTAGTAGGATGACCCATGATCCTTGATCTGGCTTCTAATGACAACCTTGTATATGGGGGTTGCTCAAAAAGTAATAAACACTTTTTGACAGAGATACTTCTTTTAGACCAATCCCATTTATTTATTTCACCAGTAATTATATTTTAGTCATAAATGTTTTTATTGCCTCCAATTCCATGTCATGCCTTCCTCCCTACATTCCTGAGCTTTTTTTCAACACAGGGAAGGAAGGCATATGAAAGAGTATATTGTTAACACTCACCTTGGCACTGTCTGGTAATAAAGCAGCAGTTGACCGAGGTCCTCACTCGTGAAATCAGGACTCCGCCATATTGTTTCTTTTGTATATATAACTACAACAGCGCCACCTTGTTTGTCCCTAGATCCTGAAAAACATCACAAAAATTCTCATTTTGGAATGTGAATATATTTTCATGTTGGGGAACAGTGTGATTTCAATGGATGAATTAATAGAGAATCTATTTAATAAATCATATGAAAATACTCTAAATACAACACATCAATACTTTCAGTACATGTATTGCCGGAAGAGTGAATATCTCACATCTCTTCACATAATATAAAATCATAATCATTAAAATACAATTAACATGCAGTCATTCACTGGGAGGGATTGGATATGGGTTTTATTCAGAGGGATAATATGACATTTCTCGAGGGTCATATACTCATGTCACCAAGAAAATTGGAAAATATTTCAATTTTATTTTCAGGCTCATCACAAGTGAAAAAGTCTAATATGAATGCCTGCCACACGTAACAGGTTATATTTACAGTAAAACCGGTTTGAAGTGAAAAACACTCTTAACTGCCTTAGTATATTATCACTGTCTACCATTTTGTTTCGATTTTGCTTAGAATTTAAAGAACAAAATTTCTAGGTGTTCAGATTAGAGAGGTGTTCAGATAAATAGGTTTCACTGTATATTCAATTGTCCTATTTGAAGGGTAGTAATATTCCAAAGTCCCTTGGCTTCAGGGTAAACATTGACAGGTGTTCATTTGAGAAAGGTGTTCACCAACACATATTTAACTGTACTTATATTCATCACTTGCTATTATGTTATCATGTATAATTGTTCTACATGTTATGAATGTAATATCTGTAATGGGTTGTGTGTCATTCTTTTTTTATCAAACACCATTTCTTCATTCACTCAACACATGTCGTCTGGACGCAAAAAAGACTGAGCATGCAAAAATGCTTTCTTTAAAGTTCTGCTTTTTCTCTGAGATAGTAATGGCTGATAGAAACCACAACATGTGTACATTTTGAGTCTCCCTTCTGCCACCCATTCCCCCTTAAACATACCCCTTCAAGGAAGGAGAGAAGTAAATAGATGGGGGATAGAGAGGCTATATCAAGACTAATTGTGTATGTATAACTTTCACAAAATCGTATATCCCTAAATGTAAAAGTCTTCCTTACCCTTATTAAAAGTGTATATCCATAGTTCATCAAAATATGACTGGGGTACTAACTAGTAATTAATCCAGCATTGTTGCTTTAATTAAAAACTTCCAATTTAAAAATCGTAATTGTTTAATACTGAATGACTCATCTTTGCGATTAATTTGAACATAAGCTATCTTGTCCTCACATTTGATTGGTCAATCCACCACGCTATCGTTAATTACTCAATGATTTGTTCTGGTAAAGACTTCCCCATAATTATATTCGGATGTTTATAATATTGTTGCTATTAACACACATTTTTCAGATTTTTATGAATCATCCTCCACGTTGAAAATCTTTTTTTCACAAATTACAGGAACAGCAGTTATAAGCATACTGATATAATGAACGTTTTAGTATTAACATTACATATTTTACACACAATGACCTACATCTCCAGTATAATTTTCAATCAATATTTTCTATTGTTGATTTTGCATGCTATTGTCAAACAATGTTTGCAACAAATGTTTATCATTGTTTTATCTTAATGACCATCTCATGGTGCCTCTATGACATTGGAACGACAACAAAATATCTTAAATAATGCAAATCATCAGATCTCCTGTTGCAATAAATCTTTTATTTTTCTCTTTGTCACAAGTAAGTCGGACTGACAATACTGAAAACCATAATATCACTTATTGTATATGAATTCAATTATTAATAACTTATTGTATACATATGTATGTAGATATAATTTTCTTATTTCAATTCAAATTCATATCCTGACTTTCTGAGTAAGCCTCATTTTTTTGACAGTACATAATCATAGTCTTGACTTTTTGAGTAAATCCTGACTTTGAGTAAGCCTAGGCCTCAACTTTAAATGTAACCTCATCCTAAATTTGAGTTTTTGAGTAAATCCTGTCTTCTTGAGTAAGACTTAATCTTATATGTTATCTTAATTTTGAGTTAATCCTTGGCTTTCCCTACTAGCTCTTTTAGGCTTTCCAATCTCTCCTTTCATAGCATTAACATTTCAGAATATATACTCATACTGGTAATGTATGTATAACGATTAATTGTTCCTTTTTCGCTATAGAAGCAACATGTTGTCTGATCAACAATATGTTATTGGTTATTGATTTTATATACAGCAAATAATTAATGACCCCTAGTCTCTTTCTAAGCCATTGGGAGACCAGGGACGGAAATGAACCTTCTTAACCTGTAATCATAACCGAGTAGTAATTAAAATTGCTGGATTGCATTAAACCCGAACATCCTTCTTGAGTGCATTTGTCTTTCACCTGAAGTGGTATTTCGTAACAGTGTGTATATTGTTTCATACTGATGTAGCATATATGGGTATGTAGTCACTCACTGGGTAGACTAGCTATAAGCCTGTTAACCCCCCCCCCCTCTACTTGATTAAACACCTTCTCACATAGAAGACTACACACTGGGTTTCCTTAATTCGATTTTGCTTCTTAAAAGAGAGCTTCATCTACCTAGTGTGCTTGGTTTTTACCCTCTTGGTACCCCAGGGGTCATTTTGGCTGAGAGGCATGGCATGGCATACAGCCAATAGAGAACAAAGAAATAAAAACAAAAAATAACGATAATAGACAAATACTTATGGGCAGGTAGAAATATTCGATACACTTATTCTTATACAAGGATGAAGAACTGTACTGAAAGACATGACAAGTTTTCATAATATCTTTTACTCAATTAACTCCATGCCATGACTATCTACCTAGCATTTTATGAAAGTAATTCATTAGAACCAACCAATTATAGCTACAACCAATCTGTTGTCTATTACCGGACATCGAACTTGTCCACATTAATGTGAACTAACAATTAATTATTCTTTCTTAATTAGTTCCAGGTATGACAGTAATGATTACTGCATTTATAAATTCAGAAAAAATGAAGTTGAAATGAGGTCATGAATAAAACAATCCAGACAATAAGACAACAACAATTCTCAAGACTGTTTTTTAAATATTCTGGGATACTAAGACCGAGATTTGAAAACAAATGTTTCTGAAATAATCTTAAAATGTTCTGGTAGTGACATATTTTAATCCAAGTAAGTTTATTTTAGATAATTCAACCAATTAAAAGGAGATACCAATACCCTTTACAATGGTTTCATTTTGCTTAAAGTCCCCGATAAATCGGGCTACGTATACCGCCGTGTTTACATTAGGGGATTAGAAGAGTTTATTTTTTATTTAGGTATGCAAGCTACGTATATCAATATTAGGCCTTCATTCATGTACTCGTGTGCATGTAATCAGCATGCCCTTCAATATTATGTAAACCAGGCTATTCAAGTACTGTATAATATACACTATTTATGTGTGTACTACATACAATACAATTCCCTGGGAAACAAAACACAAATACTTTTTATATGTTCAAAATGAGCCATTTGATTGATGCAAACACTAAATAGCTTCATAAATAACATCTACAAAGTATATCTAATAGTAATTTTCAATTTCAATGGTGAAACTTCCCTGGTTACGATTATATGGGAAATCATCACGAGACGAAGATCGTTCGCCTTCCTGGCTTACCTCTGAAGCGTGTACCTGGTAATCTCTTTATATAGTTTAGCGAGAGCGGTGCGCCTGCGCAGTTTTAAACTTTGGCGCACACTTTAAGGAGAGCTTCATCATTTGCACTTCATCTACCTGATTACCTGATGTATTTGGCTCTCACATTAAGGGAAGTTGTAATGCATAGAGAAGAACATAGCAAAATTAATTAATTTTTCTATTACACAAACCTAAATAAATTATTATTCCTAAAAATATTCATCCTATTAAACAGAACCTTTGTTACGGGTTCAAGATGTTTGATTCTTTGAATTCTTCAAAAGAATAGATAATGGACATTAATTGTTGAAATCTCCTGGGTAAGCTTCAGAATATAATCTATGGAAGTCAGGATTTTCTTTGAGAATCTTTGTAGAAAAGCAGAGGAATTAGTAAGGAAATAATAATTTTCATTAAATCTAATAGAAAATAAAAGAAACATTTTGAATGGATAAATTCCAACTGTACAGCCTCACACATAAAAGTTGTAGTTGGCAGAGATTTTATCACAATTGATTTTGGCACATACATCAGAACTAATCAGAAAATACGGGAGCGGAAAACATGTTTGATGTCAACATAGACTTGTAGAGATGATCGCAAGTTCAAGTTCGTAATGTACTCAACCCTTCATTGAAGCCTTAATGAATTTTTTTCCATTATAAAATGTTTTGAGGAGTCCTAATCACCTTTAATTTGAGTGTCTTAATCTTGGGAAAGTTTGATCCTTTTGTAAGGGTTCCATAAAATGTAAACAATAGATGGCACTTACCTGGAAGTACAGCAGCTCCGGAATATAGTATCCCAGAATCCACCTCTGCCAGTCGTCGTGGCAACATGAATGTTTGGCTCCCAGAGTGGTCGCTAGGTGTACTACGTCTAGATGGCGCTACATCACCCTCGTCTCCTTCGTCAACATTGAACTCTAAAACGAGATACATTCGTGAAAATCTTACTCTCTTCATTTCTTACAATTTTAAATCCACAGATAGTTTTGCATGAATAATAGAAAATCCTGTGTTATTTTGCATTTCCATCACAATGCAGGGAGAGCTTTCTCTTAATATCCTAAATTATGCAATAATCAATAATTCCACTGAGCTTCCAAATCTGATCCAATCTGAAAATCTTATCTGTTGTAAAGCTCAAGAAGTGTTTTAAATCCATCATATAATCCATTGGCAGAGCTTTGCGAAAATTGTGCTTTTTACGTTTCAACAAAAATGTTTCTTGCTTATAGTTGTTGCATTATCTTCAAGTGATTCCCAAAGGTCATGTTTAACATCAACAGGTTGAGAGCAACGTAATCTGGAGGCATGCTTCTCATTTACCGAATAGTTTTCCAAAAATGTTAATGACGTATATAACACCCATTTATAATTCAAAATATGAAAATGTTGTTTGTTTAACCTTTAGCGTGCTGCCGGCGGACTCGTCCGCCGAGACTAAAATGTCTCTCACAACTGCCGGCGGACCCGTACGCCCGATTTCAAACTTTTAAAAACTTTACTTTTTCGCGCCATTCGTATTGTCCAATTAGATTGCCCGATTTATTCAGTGCCTAACATGACTTCCTGTTGACCTAGAAATGGCGATATTTCGAAAAATAATTCTCAATTCAACAATTTAAACAGTGTTTTAGTCGTTTTTAGTGAACGAATCGTACAAAATGGTGGACAAATACGATCACAACGAAAATGTGGAGGAAATGGATTACGATTTCGAGCTCTTTAGGCTCTTGGAAGCCGATAACGGTCATCGAAAATAGAAACTAGAATATTTTCTGAATTGAAAAATTGAACATTCGATCGCTGCAAATTCAGATTTGGATTCTGACCAGACGAAGAGGCGGAGCGGCGGATTCCGGAGGAGTATTCATGGTATATTTATGCCCAGTCGTGTTAATGTACGAAAAAATTCATGAGAACATTTTTTTCATGAGCCAGGCCACTGTATCTTCCCTTTGTGAAAATTTTATCCAGATTCATTCAGTAGTTATTGAGATATTAATTATTAAGTCCAGGCATATCATTTTTTGCACTCTTTGAAAAATAAGCCAGTTGCGTGGGTTATATTTGCTGAAATAAGGCAGCATGGTAAAGGTTAAACTAGCATCCTTTCATTCTCAAATTCTTGGTGATAACTATGAATTATATTCCCAGGTACGTGAGCCAGGTAGGGCGAATATCGTTAGTCAGATATCACATTCACATTTCACATTTTTCTCTGAAATGTTACCAAACTGCAATTCATCATTCTTAAATCTTTAATTTCAAAAATAAATTTTTTCATTTCTTCAACTTAATTCTTCCTTCTCTGCTCAAAATCACATTTGTAAACTATTTCCACGCTTTCTAAGCCAAATAGGGCGGATATCGTTAACCAGGTATCGGATGATCAAAGTTTATCAAACAAGGTTATGATAATCCACATGTTTTCAGCTGTGTGATATTATCCAAATATACTGCAAAAAATATCCTTGAATCTCAGAAAATCTGTGTTGATGTTTTCTCCATGTTATTGATGGATCTGAGATCACTGGTGAGGAGACTGTTACATTTGTTACATTATCTTCCTACTCCTTCAGGTATATACAATATCAGTGATTCCTCTAGCATTGAAGGAACTCTTTGAAATGATCACTTTCAGTTATATACAGTAAAACCTGTTAAGTTGAACACCTGTGTAAGTAGAACATCTCCACAAGTGGAACACTTCAAAGACCTGATGCCTATCAACTTAATATAAATGGATCTGGGTAAGGAGAACACCTCTACATTAGAGCACTATTTTGAGGTATCACAGGTGTTCCAAATATACAGGTTTTATTGTATCACTAATCAGAGTCAAATCTTCATGGTAGCAGCACTCCGCTCGATCCCTTCCCTTCCGTGATGCAATAGTGAGAGATGCCAAAAGTATCATAACAGGAAAAATTGAATCTATTTTTATTTTTAGCACTGATATATTTGCTCCATCCTGGACTCTCATGTCTTTCAATATGACCCACCCTCCTTTAAGTAAGTAAGAATATGTTCTAGATAAGCTCTATCTAGAGCTATTAAAGTGTTATAAATAGAGATTATCCTATATGAGGTTCAGGATATTGGGATTATCCCGAGGCAAATATAATATATTTGCCCGAGGGCCGCAGGTCCCGAGGGAAAATATATTATATTGGCCAAGGGATAATCCCAATATCCTGAATCGACTATAGGATAATATGTTTATCCCATACCAATCTTGGTCATCTGGTTCACATTGTTCAATCGTGGAAATATTTTAGAATATTCATGTCCAGTTTTGTTTTCTTGGTCGTGGGCGGATTTCCTGTTCTCTCACATATTCCCACATTTATTTTCTCGAATTTTTGATTGATTAAGTGGATGCTCCTTTCCTTTTTTAAACCATCAAACAGATCCCGATTGTCTGTGTTTTCTCCATTGTCGTTTACAGTCATTACGCGAACGTTACAAATTATGAACAAATATGCTAGCGGCGATTATGACGTAGCGGGCAGATATACTATATCTGCCCGCTCGGAGCGGGACGTAAAGCTATATTTGCCCGCTGATGAAAATATAAGTTTTTACAAACCGGCTTTATGTACCTGTAACACGTCTAAGTATGGGATAAAAGTATTTACAAACTCTCAAATAATCTTCCAAGTAGACTTACATGGAAAAGGGAAATTCAATGTATGACTGGAATTTATCCTGACCTGATAATTACTAGGAAGTTTTAAAAACATCTTTGACCCAATATTAGTTGCTGACAATATTCACTTCGGCAGCTTTTTGCATAGTTGTTATATTGAGATGTACTTTAGAAATAAAACAAAAACAATCTTAATTGTTAATAATAAATATACGAGTTTGGATCAATTTAAACTGGTTAGTATATTTTTATGGTAGTCTGACAAATACCTGTTTTGCTTTCAAAGTATTAAAATTATCACATTCCCACATAATTTGAGCAAAATTCCAAAAAGATGCAATTACCACATCGTTACTTTTCTAAGTAATATTTTTGTTCTTGTTGAAATTGGAATAGATTCAACGAGTTAATTTATATTTTGATACTCAATAATAAGAATGAATATATGTAGGTACTATGAAGCTTGTATTTTGTAACAAAAAATGTGTCCCTAACATTTACATTTCCAAGGCCAAGGGTGAATGCGTTACATTGTTCTAATTACAGGTGAACTTTAACGAACATGATAATTAACAGATTCTCAACTATGTAAGTATTTACTCTTAGTGTTAGCGGGTTTAATACATGGTAATGTTTGGCACAGTGGTATAATTACACAATGGAATGCTACATACTAGCGTTAAACATGTAATCCTACAGAAAATAATATAATATGTATAATTGTGTTATTATATAGTGTGGCATAATTGATATGATTTTTGTATGGTATGGTATGAATTTTGTATGGTATTTCTATATGACATGGGATGGTATGGTATGATGATGGTATGGCATGAATTTAGTATGGCAGTACTATAATATGAAATGGTATGGTATGGTATGCATTTAGTACGGTAGTACCGTGCTATTATAGAATGGTATATGTGTAGTATTAGGTATGGTTTTGTAAAATACAATGTGGGATAATTTTGGTGTAGTTTGGTATCCTGTAGCATGATACGGTAATATAGTATGATTTTGGAATGATCTGTTATAGAATGGTTTGACATGGTTAAGATAATATAGTACTATGGTACAGCATAGTATGATATGGTCTGCATAGTCTACAAATATATAAAATGTATATTACATCCTCTTTTTTCTAGTTCTCACACTCATAATAGTATTTCTGTATTTCCCCTCCCTCATCAACATCTTCAAATTGGATATATTTGCTATCTTAATGGGAAGCTAGTTACCATCCACTTGTGTGAATGAAAGGTATGTCACTTAAGATTAGGAGGATGCTACCATATTTCTTATCCATAGTATCACAGCAACTTAAAAGTTTACAGTAACCAACACTATATGTTCTATATTAAGTTTATAGTTTCTATACATCATCATTTATGTTTTAGTACTTACAATACAACACCAAGCGGTGTCAATAGGCCATTATTGTTGCACTTTGGTGCATTTTGAATATAAATCACCTGACGACAATAGACACCAAATGCAATTTATTTTGGTTACTGTTTTAGATATTTTGAACACATGCAATATACGTATTTCCTGTTTTATATTAATAGTTGTGAATATGAATTACCTTTATGTTCTCAATCAATCAAGCAGTCCACAAGTTGATATTTTTCATAGATTTCTCTCAAAATCAAATTCATTAAATCAAATCTGTTTATGAGAATATTGATATCCTAATCCAAACTGCTCCACAATGGTTTTTACAGCTAATCCCTAGATGTTTCACGGTCTATATCCATAAATTGTTATTCTGTTACAAGTATTTACACTCAGTTCAATCTTTGTATTCCATTATTGAGAACTGTCCCTTTTCAAATTGTAAAGATATAATATTGAAATCTATGAATGAATTATACCAGGTCGCATCGACCAATATTGTTCACCTTTTCGAATAAAGGAACCTGTCTACAAATAAAATGTCAACATGCTCCTGTTTTGAAATGTAAAAATACTAACAAAAAGGAGAAATCAACAATGAATGGAGTATAAATGTATTCAATTGACACCTAATACAAATTGGGAATGACAAATATCAGACTGTTTATTCAAATAGAGAGAGAAATGACATGAGATAGGGGGTCATTTTCAGAGAGGTTAAGGGAGACATCTGCCAGTTGCAGTGTATAGTAATGTACAGGTATGGGCAAACAATTACAGTCTAACCATAGTGGGCTGAACACTATGTGATACAAAAAAGTATTCATTTGGATAAAATATAATATAGATAATCTCTAAAGAGACTCTCGAAAGAGACTCTGGTTAAGGTTATTCTTTTTAGCATTTTTTCAAAAATGTTGTTTGGAAAGAACAAACAACATTTGGAAGTCAATGGCAAAAACACATTTCTGTTCAATAGCATAGGTGTCAAGCCCGTAGCCAGAATTTGCCAAGGGGGGTTCAGCTTGAAAATTTCCAGGGGGGTTCACATTTGACAATTTTGGCCCAAATATGGCTAAAATCACTTGAGAAGTGCTCAAAATGGTGAAAAACCGCCTGAACGCTACTACCCCCCCCCTCCCCTGGCTACGGGCCTGGGTGTTTTACTAAAGGTGTTCACTGAATACTAGAATGATGAGAGAGTGTTTGTAACAGAATGATGTTTTAACTTATAACTTATATATACTTAATATGTTCTCGAAGTGTTCACTGGAGAAGTATTCACTATTTTCACCGTAAATGATTTGCTATAACCATGGGCTTTCAAAGTTTGAACTCTGTCTTACTCAGGTGTTCCCATATCTTTTCTTGCATAGTATTTTAGTATTGCACTTAACATTTTTCTTACTCCTGATGATTCAGATTACACGTACTGTATTTAAGTTTACTTAAAACCAACATGCAGACTTTTGTAAAATGTGTCATATCTATATGCTCTATATCACATTACCCAAAGGCTTTTTCTATTCTTTTATCTATTTACTATTAAACGTACATGTAATGTATATAATAGTATCTATGCCTCTTTTGATTGTCTATGGCTTGAATGAAGCTAGACTGATGATTCATAAGATTGCATAATGATAAAAATTACATGAATTAATCTGAATGTTTTTGCATCATTGGTGCCCATGGCAACTGGTGTTCTGATATGTACTTATAAAAGATGTCATCACTTGATAGGTGAAGTAAAGGCCATGGAGTGAATCATTTCAACACATTTATTTTTGAATCTGGACATACATATGTACATGTATTTCTCTCATTCTCTCAATCAATTTTCCTAAATAAGAAATAAATCATATTGAAGATTTAGCATTCTGTCCTATATCTAACACTTTGAGAGATCTCGATCAAAGAGACTTTGGAACCGCCAATAATACTTTGGTAATATCAATTAAATTTTGTAGCACAAAATAGTTCTTGTATCTTATTATATTTTTATCATAAAACTCTATTTTGTAGAACCCAGCGTTTCAGGAAATACTAAAAAGTGACGAGAGAACTTCTTTTTGGAGTCTTTGTTACATTTGCATTCAAAGTCATTCAGTATTTATGCCTAAGGGAAGTATCGCCTTTTATTAATGACAAATAGCACTTGAGTTGAAAGTTGACGATTTTCAGAGCTTTCCAGCTAAAACTTGAAAAGATCAAAGAAGATAAGAGGGAGAAAATTCTATAGATTTTACAGGTTAATTTCCTGCCTCTTAGTTATTACACTCACAGACATTCAAAGTATAATAACCTACTTCACTTTCACAACAAAGAAATGTCCCCTTTAGAGGGGGAGAGGGTAAACTAAAAATGGACACTGTTTATATAAGATATATATATTTCAACATGATTTTTATTTCATTTGATACAGAGTATTTTCTTTCATCTCTCTTACATCTTACATATATCATGTATAAATGTAATTAGAGGAATACTTGTGGCAATTTATGGCTTATTCCTATAGAACTACATGACAGAGGACTTCCCTGTTAACATGCTAGCTTTGAAGAATGAGGTGTAGGATAATTACAGGTATTTCTTTCTTTAACGAGATAATACCTGAAGCAATTTCCAAGATAAGACTGTTATATGAGAAAACTATTCAAAACAGAACCACAATACTCATAAGAAAAAGAAATATTGACCATTACAGCTTATCTTTTTATTTTTTCTTGTTTATAGCTATATCTTTTTTTAATTGAAATATGATGTTTGCAGATATCTTTATCAAAAATGATTCTGAGAACTGAACTGTACTAACCTGCATAGATGTTGCTATAGAAACTGCCTTCAACATAATCATCATCATTGCTATGGTAATCATGTGTTTCCAGCTTCACTTTAGGTTTCCTCTGTAGTGATTCATATCCATTTGTAATCACCTCCTTTGTGTTGCCATGGCAACCTGGAGCAATCAACTGGTTACCAAGGTAACCTTTACCATAGTTACGACACTCTATGGTAATATCATTCAAGGGGGATTGCTCTACCCCTTGCTCAGTAACAACTAGATAATGCTTCATAAGCGTGAAGAATTCTAGGTCATTTTTCCCCTGTAATTGTGTTATCCAATCCATGGTGAAGATACTGAAATAATCCAATGGTCGAATAATAACCTCCTTTATAAAGAGCTTTTCATTAAATCCACTGGTTGCTATGGCAACTGTATTAGTAGTACCTTTAAAATTGGTACCCTTTGTTTTGGCACTAATAGAGGCACCAATAGTGTGAGTGATTTCAGTAAAAGCACTCCGTATCTTGTGTATTCCTTTTATATTACCTTTCTTGTTTGAAAAACTTGAAGTCTGATCCAATTTTGTTTTGTTTCGTTGACATGACTGAAGAACTAATTGCACACATCCCGAGCCTGTTTCTCGTACACACAGATAGATGTCTCCTTCCTTAATGAGTGATTGGTCAACCTGGGCCAGGTGAATCAATAGATGTTTGTCTCTATATAGGGGCCAACCTTTGGGTGCCTTAGGGTGTCTTTGTCTCACCTGAAAATATATGAAATAACAAAACATTTGAAAAATACATATTCATTCTTACAGGGTCACCTAATTGTATAACATAACTTGCTATTCATGACAATTAAGTTATCCTCCTGTCCTCTCTACCCCCCCCCCCTCTTTCACCCACATCCCCTCTCTCCATCCTCTCTCTCTGCACCTACCTCCCTTCTCTACTTTGTGTCATAATTGCTTCATTCTCCTATATATGCCATATAAACGTCTACCTTTGCTTTATTTACCAGACAGAATATAAACAATACAATATACTTCAGATCCAGTCTCAATATTCACGGGTTGTATCCAAAGCCCCGTTATAATTGAGAGATCGCGAGCAAGTTCCCGCTGAAATCACGAGCAAAGTCCTTTTTATTTAATTCATCTGGAAATATGGACCAAAAAGGTAAGAATACGCATTACTGTTCTTTGATACTTTAGGTATACTTTCAGAACAGGTATATCTTCACAAACAATGACATGAAAGATAACTATTTTTACTGGCATGGAAGAAACGGCCGTCAATATGCACGTTTGCATAATTTACTGTTAACATATTACTTTTATGGTTAAAATAGAGACAAGAACTACGATATGCATACCTCATTATTAATATTGGACCAACATTGTATGTATTGATAAGTTTGTTTTCAAAAACATCCACTATGGGGGGTGAAATACATCATTGAAGGTGTGCCAGTGGCCCCGCTGAAATTATGAGGAAGCCCCGCTGAAAACATGAGGAGGTCCCGCTGAAAACAGGAGCAGACATCACGAGTACCCGCTTCGATCACGAGGAAAGCTCATTACTATTACATAAAATATTGAGGTTCTTCAAATAAACGTACACGAAAGATCAAGTTAAGTGTTTCTAATAATTACTGTATATATACTGTTTCATTCTAGGGCCAGGTTTCTAATGTTTCCATTCCAACTTCAAGCCACCAGAGATTTCGTCAAACATTTTATAGAGTAACATCCATATCAAAATGTATAGGAGAAAGGTGGATATCATTTCAAGAATGAACTTAATTGAAGCCTGAGGTTCAGGGTAATGAGTCTTGTATTAAACAAAGACACCCCAAGTTGCAAGAAGATGAAATTTAGAGAGAAAGGAGAACCACAAAGTCTCCATGATAATTCAGGTTCTACATTTATAATTTAACAATAACATTTAACAATAACATTCAAGTTTTTGTTTTTAAATATTTATTAAAATAATGATGATTTGTCTTCCATACCTGATAATTTTCAGGGACATATCAACCGGGAATATACTCCATATCCGGGCAAAAATTTGTCGTATGTCCCGCTCAAACGAGGATCCGGGACATATAAATCGTATGTTTCCTGGACATATTGTTACGCGGTAAACACGATACAAATATATGTCATATTCCACAATGAATATGGCATATTCACTTGTGGAGTATAATAGATTCACCTGCGGTATATGGCATACTCACCTGCGGTGTAAGGCATATTCTGCAAGTGAGTATGACATATTCTGCGAGCATGGGGTATTTACTGAAATCAATGTATCACATATTCAATACGGAATATGCCATACTCACCTGCGGAATACGCCATATACCACAGCTGAATATGGCATATACACCCGTATCACAAATAGCACGCAACCATGAATATATGCCATATTCCGCGTAACACATACGATGTTACGCGGAGTATGGCATACATTTATGGTTGCGTGTTATTTGTGATACGGGTATACAGTATATGCCATACTCACCTGCAGTTTATGGCATATTCCGCAGGTGAGTATGCGATATTGCGCCGTGAATATGCGATACATTGATTTCAGTGAATACCTGATAGTCACCTGCAGAATATGCCATACTCACTTGCCGAATATGTCATATACCGCAGGTGAAAATGACACAATGGTTACCCGTTTGTTCAATCAATGCAATTGACAATTGCGTACTTCTGTATCGTGTTCTCATTGCTTAGTGGGTATGCAATATACTGCAGCTGAATCTGTCATACACCGCAAGTGAATATGCCATATTTATTGCAGAATATGACACATATTTGCATCATGTTTTCCGCGTAACACGTGCGTTTAACATAACCTACGATTAATTGTTAATGATGAAATTATTTGATTATTATTATTTCGGACTCATAATCGAATGATGAACTCTTACTTACATCTAGCAGTTGATCCATAAATTGCCTTTTCAAACGTGTGCGCCATTGGTGCTGAATCCTCTAAGGTAGTAATATATTGAACTACAGTATAATGTAACTTCAGTGAAATATAAATATATATTGCATACAAAGAAGAACGAGTCCTTTGAAACTTGTCAAAAGTTGTGGAATGGATTTAAATCTTCTCTTGGTAAATTTCTCGATGGAGTCAGGTCGAAATACATTAAGTGAAATGGTTTTATTGGAATCATGCTCGTAGCCAGCTTTTGGTAAGGGGGGGGTTGCTCGAACCGATAATAACAATGACAATGATATATATGTGCTCTGTAGAGAATCAATAATTAATATATTTATTACGTTGGCTACAGTCGTGGCAGATTTGCAAAGTCAAATTGGTCTTCACTCCATTTTAGAGAGCCACTTGCTCCTGATTTCAGCGGGACCTCCTCATGTTTTCAGCGGGGCCTCCTCATGTTTTCAGCGGGATCTTTAGTTTATTGCTCATGGTAGAAGCAGGGCCTCAAGGGATATGCTAAAATTGAAATATATAATTTTTTGTGAAACTTTAGGATGTGAAACTCACAATACCTTCATTTCATATTACTATGACCATTTCAACTGAAGGGCAATGACCTTCTTCAGCTATAAAATATAGAAATATATAGATAAAGATTCAAGATGATACATTCTCTCTCCAAATATCGAATAACAAAACTCAGAACATCAGCTCGTGATCCTTTTTTGCAGAAGTTGCTTTTTAGTATCAATACCATGTAATAATTGAGTAAAATTAAATGAAAACGCTTTTTATAACATACAATTTAAGTAAACAAAAGATAACCCTTCTTTTCTTTTAATTGCTCGCGATTTCAGCGGGTATTTGCTCGCGACTTCTAAATCATAGCGGGGCTTTAGATACTACCCGTGAATATTGATACATCAGTTGCAGCATTGAAACAAGAGATTGAGCAACAAGCTGTTATATTTGATCCAAATGAATCCTCTCACTAACCCTACAGTGCTTACATCTATCTTTCATTTATTTCTAATCACATAGCTTTCTATTTTTATCTGGATGCCTCCAAGAAGATGTAAATAGTAAAATATCTTATGATCAGCACTATCTACAGGGTGTCAAAAAACAACGGCACCCCCCTCTACAGAAAAAAGTACTTAATGCTACATGGTGTGTCATATCTCATTTTAAAGACAATTTAATTCTGGAGTTACCTGAGAAATTTCAGCTTTATATCATATAATTTTACAGATTTACAGCTGATTCTTAGTAGTTGGTATGACCACCAGTTGCTGCTCAAACAGCAGCTTATCTGGACGGATATGATTTCAATAAAAATTCAGATAAAGGTGTAGCATTGCATAATCCTCTTAGCACCTTCCTCACATTCTTCAGAAATACATCCTAATTGTATCTTTTTTCAAGAAGCTCTTTGTCCATCAGTTCCTATACCCTGTTTTTCAGAACTGAACCTATATGTCCAATGCAGTTGCAATCTGGGCTCATTCTTTCATATTTCACTTTCTGAAGATTTGACCTTTAACCAGTAACAGAGCAGCAAACAAAGTACCGAAGTAGCAAACTTAAAAATGTAGCTTTTTTAGTATAAAGTTTAATTAAATGAAATTTAAGGAGTAACTCCAGAATTAAATTATCTTTCAAATGAGGTATGACACGATATGGAACATCTAGGACTTTTTGCTGTAGAGGGGGGTGCCGTTGTTTTTTGACACCCTGTATAAACAGTGAAGACTGCACATTTCTTTCTAATGAATAATCTCTGAACTTCAAATGAACACTTTCTCTTTTGTGAAAACTTTATTCAAGAATCACCCCGAGTGAACACCTCTCTGTAATTAACATCTCTCTATTGAAAACTTCTACTTAAGGTCATCAAAAGTTCTACAAATCATAATTAAAAACCTTTCCTTGACTTATATGAAATCAACAACTATGCTCAGATTCCCCCTTCATCTCAAATAATACTTGCATTTGATACTCACTACAATTCATACAGCCATCAGTTTCACCCATAAGTCTCAAATATAAGATGTATCATAGACATGCTTACTCCCATGTTTACTGGCGAATAACTGGGTTATCTTTTCAACCATTTTTTGGATGACTTGAAAGATTTTCTTCCCTCAGAACATGGTATAGAGTTTGAAGGTGTTTCTTTAAACCATCTACTTTGGGCTGATGACTTAGTATTAATAGCTAGCTCTAAATCTGGGGCACAATCTATGCTAGACTCTCTCTTTGATTTTTGCAGAAATTATCATCTTGTTGTCAACACTGTTAAAACAAAGGCTATTATTTTTAACTCTAAATCAGATGAAACTTTTAAATTCAATAATGAAGTGATTGCATGTGTAGAAGACTACAAATACCTAGGGTGTATCTTCAACAGTAAAAATAATTTTGATAAACAAATATGCTATCTTAAAGAACAATCTAGAAAAGCTTTATTCAAAATAAAGCAACAATATCACAAGTTTAATGACATTCCCATATCAGTTGCCTTACATTTATTTGATTCACTTGTCCAACCAATTTTGATGTATGGTTCAGAAATATGGTCAAGTAAAAAACATATCAAGTCACTTGAAACTATTCACCTGTCCTTTTTAAAAAGCATTCTTGGTGTGAAAACATCAACTGCAACCCTAGCAGTCTATGGGGAGCTGGGTCGTTTCCCCCTTAGTTTGTGCTTTGATATTAATCTTATTAAATATTGGATACGGCTTATACAACTTTGTCCAGATAACCTCCTTTATAAAGCATATCTATATGACTATGA